ATCGAACATTGTTTCGTTCTGCTGTGCATGGAGTCGCTATGAGTCGGTTCCGACTCGATGGCACCTGACAACAACAACAACAACAGTCCCGAGCAGACTTGTTGCTCAAGACTGCTGTTCTGTGCTATCTGAACCCAGGCTCCTTGACAATACATGTCTGACCAAGAGCAGCCCATCCTTAACTGCCTTGTAGCCTCTGCTTTGGCCTAGCATAGCAATCTCTTCTCAAACTAGACCAATCAAATAATCTCCTGGGAGTTTAGACTGAGAATCCTAGAGTTTCACTCAGCTGGTAATAGAGAAAAGTTGAGTGGGGCCACAAGGTACAGGAGGTCCATAAGTCAGATGTTATGAAGCAACAAAGAGTCTGAAGAAAAGTGATATAGAGAGGAAGTAAAAAGGGTAATAAACAATGAGGTGGAACAAAAACTAGAGAAGAGCCAAGAGCAGAGTTGAATAACGTCACACAAATAATGGGATATCAGAGTAAAGAGTTGTAAAGCCTTACTATTTAAGGGATAAATTAACAAATAAACCCTTTGTATCTTTAAACATGTTTCGTATCCTAATAAACCACATACTAACACCAGCAGAGTTACAGATCCTCTTTTTCCTCAGTGATTCCTACGTCTTTTGGCTACAATTGACTTTATAGTGAGCCTAATGAATCTCTATTACTCCAAAGAATTTAAGTGACTCTGTATTTCTTGCAAAAAAAAAGTAGCAAACACAGTAACAGCTGAAAAAGAAGACTCAATGCTTCTCTGGGTAGGGTCCCACTCTCCGCTCTTCTCCCTTGATGGTCCCAGGGACCTTCACTCCTAGACTGGAAAGTTAATCACTATCCTCCTTTTGCTACAAAACGTCTACCTTTACATTTTCAACCCTCAAATCAGTCCTGATAACAATTATTCACTATTGTATCACAAGAGACCTATCTGCATCTCCTTTCATCAGCCCCGCCCAGACAGACTGGATACTACTCAGTGGAGATTATACCTTCCTCGGAGCCCTCTGGATCTAGGCTCCCTCTTGAAAGTTTGTTAGCGCCCCCATTTTGGGTAGCCAATGTCTAAGTTGCCCATCCCTGTCTATTCTGTGTATGGAGGGGGTGGGAATAATCCTCGCTGTAAAGATTTGTTCCCTCTTTCGAGCTACCACATCCATAGGTGTATATGCATCAAGGGCATAACTAAATATTTTGAACATTAAAATACATTCCTTAAAAATAGCAAAAATACAAAATCTGTGATATCCTGTATCTATTAAAGAAATAAAATCTGTAATTAAAAACCTCACAAGAAAAACTCCAAAACTCAGTAACTTCTCCACTATACTCTTGTAAACATTTATAAAAGAAAAAGCACTAATCTTGTAAAAGTTGCAGTTACTAGAAGAGGGTACTCTTTCCCAATCATTTCAGAAGACTAACATAACCTTGAAACCAAAACCTGACATTACAAGAAAACTACAGACGCCCAGTGAAGGAGGTTTCCTGCAGAGCCTCTGCATTACATAAGACCATAGGTGGAATCCTGAACAGCATCCAGAATCTTCTGAGGTGGGAAATTTCCACTTGAAAGGATGGGCAGACCAGCCTGGAGTGGCTAGAAGAACAGAAGATACTTCTTGAAAGAAAGACCTACAGGAAAAATACAAAACAATATAGGCAGACTGACTGATTACTACAAGAACAAGCAAATTGCTTGCCCAGGAGACATCAAGGCAAGCAGTCGGGTACCCTCAAAGCAAACCCCCTTCCAAGACTAAGACTCAATGGGAATACACACTCTAAGACTCAATGGGAATACACACTCTGATTAGTGACCACGCTCGTCACCGATAAGGGGAAGTGAGGGGAAAACAGCAATGAAGTGGCAAGCTAAGCCCTATAACATTCAATAGGCTCCTGTGAACCTGGGTGGAGACCTGGTTGGGCAGCAGTGTTGCAAGACCTGGGGACTCTTGGGCCCAGAGTCAGTGACATAACCACAGAGGACTAGAGTGGAGAGTGAAGTGTACAGCTGATAAGAAGAGAGGGCTTATACATAACAAAACCCACACTTTCAGATACTACCCAGTTGACCTGGCTTCAATGTCTAGATGATCAGAGCTCAACTAGAAGAAGAAAGAAGAGGAAAAAAAGAGTACTCTGATACAATTTGATGAACTTGACCTACACCTATGGATGCAGTAGCTCAAAAGAGGGAACAAATCTTTACACCAAGGATCATTCCCAGACCCTCCATACACAGAGTAGACAGGGATGGGCAACTTGGACACTGGTTACCCAAAATGAGGGGGCTACAAAGGCAAGACGTGACTGGCTTACAAGCTTTCAAGAGGGAACCTAGATCCAGAGGGCACGAAGGAAGGTAGAATGTCCACTAAGTAGTATCTAATCTGTCTAGGCGGGGCTGAAGAAAGGAGATGCGGATAAGACTCTTGTGACACAACAGTGAATAATTGTTATCAGGATTGATTGTGACGGTTGGAAATGTAAAGGTAGACGTTTTGTAGCAAAAGAAGGGGAGTGATTCACTTTGAAGTCTATGAGTGAAGGTCCCTGGGACCATCAAGGGAGAAGTGCGGAGAGAGGGACCCTACCCAGAGAAGCAGTGATGCCTGAGATGGAGGCAATTCTCACAAACTGAAAGATACATAACTTGAAGTGACCTTTACCATCAAAGCCAAATAACTATCTTCCTCACAGATTTGGTTCAGGGTTAATTCCATCCACTACCATCAAGTGAATTCCGACTCACAAAGACCCTATATAATAGAGCTTCTGAGACTGTAAATATTTACAGGAGCAGACAGGCTCATCATTCTCCCTCAGAGTAGCTGGTGGGTTTGAACCACCACCCTGGCAG